TACAGAGAAGTGATGAAATAATTGTGAATTGAGGTGAGAGTTACATACATAAAAACAGAACAGATGGGAATCTTTGAAGCGGACCCAGGTAAGGAGGGACGTGACACTCTTGTAATAACAGAGAGAGACAAGTTTATGCCAGACAAAGAAAGAAGTGTGTTTAAAACTTGATCACTGGGATATTTTCTGTCCTGGAAGCAGTCTGAGTTACCTTACCTCATTGCTACTCGATAACATGGTTGTCAAGAGCTTGATAGACTGATGAATAAATGAAACTTGAATAATACACAAATGAAAGGAATTGTAAGTGTACAGTGAGTACACAGGGTATCTACAATTACAGTAAATAAAGTTTCTCGCCTAGGCAACATAAGCCAGCTCTTGTTTCCTGAAGTCCCAGATAAATTTCCCTGCTGGCAGAATACTCCATAGCGATTTATATAGGGCTTTTGTTGCACCTTGGAGATATCTGTCATCAAATCCTGTGATACCAGCAGCAGGGTAAAACAGCAGAGGAACATACTGCATGTGAAATCCTGTTACGTGTAAAACTGACCCTGGCCCCTTGGTCTCTTACGTGACACATTCTCTCACTGATGCCAACATACAGAATTATTTCAGAATATTTTAGAATGCCACTGGGTTGTAAAAGCCAGTGAGGTTTATTTCCTTAGGTGTTTGGTCTTCTAGAAAGTAGATTACGTGGATATGGGAAAATGCATTTCCCATATAGGGAGGGAATATATGCACCCCCCATATGTGGGGTTGTGTGGAGAGTGAAAAATTTTTAAAGAATTGACTGAATAATGGTCATTATTCAGTATTACTATTTATTCGTCATTTGCTTGATTTTAGGGAGATTCAATGAGTAACCATTGTAAATATGTTCTTAAATGCTTAAGTGAGAGGAGTCATGGTAGGGTAGGAAAAATAATATGTTAAAAGTAATTAAACTAATTTGGATTGTGGCATCTGGACTGGAAAAGGCTATGTTTTGGAGGGCTGTTAAAAACAGATGTTTTGTTAACAGAAGATTAAAAAATGACTAGTTCCATTTGCAGCATTGAGTCATACCTATAAAATTTTATAATTAACTTTCCCAAACAATAGAAAATACTTGTTTTCTACAGAGAACTGTCTAGAATAATATTTTTCATGCTCCAGGGTCCCACTTGATCCATGTAAATTGCTGTCATGGAATATTGTTTAATGTTCATGTATTGCAAGACAGAACTGTGAAATAACATCAGAATAGAGTTTTTCTGTGACTTGGGATTTTTTTTTGTCAGGTTTTGGGGCAAAACAATAGCGCTTCCAAAGACAGGCCAGAAAGTAGAGCAACGGCTCCAGTGAAAATGTTCACAGCTTTAGGCGTTTTTTTAAAGAAAAAAAGAAAAACTGGTGACTTCTATAACTCTATAAAAACTTACAGATTCAGATTAAGCTAACGGTAGGGTTGGTTTTTTTATCCTTTTCCTTATTCGTCCTCTCCACGTGTTAATTCCTGGAGATTCTTCCTTTGTCTTTTTGTTGCATTGTTTTATCCACTTATTGCGTTGCTTTATCTGCCATTCTGTCTTCTTCATTCCTTTTTTTTCCTGTCCCGTGTGCAAGACTCCTCTTTGGCTACTTAGAGCTAAATAAGAGTTTGAGTATCTCAGTGGGGGGCAGTGATTGCAAAGCCCATGTGCCAGCAGCTGCCCGGCCATCCAGGGACCTTAAGTGCAAGAGGTGCCCACGCTGTGAACCCAGGAGTCTCTTAAGCACGAGAAGTCAAGTGCTCCCGTAAAGGCAGAAGTGTCTGCATCCAAAATGTGGAGTGTTTGACTTGACTTCCACTCCACTGGCATCCTGACCTGCAATTCCAATATTTCCATATTGCACCTGTGCTCTGGAGAGCTCTGATCCACTCAAAAGCCTCTGAGGGCACATAGTCCTGCTCACCTCCCTGGCTCCTGCATGGCCAGAAGCACCTAAGCCTAAGTAAGTAGTGGGCCACATTTTTCCTATTAGCTGGTTTTATCCAACCAACTCAAGCACTTTCTGCATCTCTGTGCTGAAGTCTTCCTTCTCTCTGTTGGTTGTACTGGTATTTCGGGTGTAAATTAATCAGCCAAAGCTGGGGCTCAAAATCTGATACCGGGGGCCCATCCTTTATCAGTTCTGTTCCTGATGGTCCTTTTTAAATTTTCTTTGATCCTTTTAAGTTCTGTATCTTCCATTTTTTAATGTAGCTCTTAGTAATCTGTGGTCACTCTTTCTGTATCCTTCCCCTACAGGAAGAATATAGTATGATTTGATATTACCACCAAAAAGTTAACAGATCATATAGTACTGCTTCACTTTTTTTTTTTTTTAATCCACAGATAATGTAGATGTTTAGTAGAAATTCTTTCACCAAAATTTATGTAAAGTGTGGTTGATTAATCTTAATGAAAAATAGTGTCTTTCAGGATTATATTCGCAGTGTTATTTTTAAGGTGGATATTACTTAATGTCTTCAGCATAATGCTTCTTTGTCTGCTTTTCTCCTTATACCATATGCATATATTTGAAAATAATGAAAGGTCTTCTTAGGTTGAGCTCGTAAGAAGGATTTTTCCCTCGGTGGTGTAAATAGCTTGAGAGGAATGTGGTTAGTCCTGTCTCTGTCACATAGCTCTGTAGGGGCTGGGTAAACAGGACTCCCTCTGGTAGCAACACCTGGAGAGCTCCAGCCGAGTGACCCAGGAGCACATCCTCCCATCAGCTTTCCTTCATTCCTTACCTACAGCGATACTATTTTAAGGGAAGATGGACCTATTTCTGGCACTTCTCTTCCGTGTTCCATCACTTTCCGCCTCCATTTGCTTTTTACCAAGGGAAGGAAGATTTGGGGCTTTCTGTAGCAAAGAGGCTGTTTGCAGGGGAAGCATCCTAGGATATGGAGAGACTTGGAATTTCAGATGCTTTTAAAGAGAGACCTATAACTTAGGCAACATCTCCTTTCCTTTTCTGGAAGTCTCTGTAATCAAAGAAACCAATCAGGGCAGAATCCAGGACCTGAATGAAGAAAGAATGTAAAAGCGTGCTGAGGGTGGAAGTGGCAAACGCTGTGCTTAGTTGCTGTTCGTGTGCTGCAACAAGATCTGTAGTGCAGACCTGCCAAGTCAGACGGGGAGACTGCTGTATTTTTGCAGTGCTCGGCGCCAACTGCTCGGGGCAAGGGTATGAAGACAATTCTGCGGCAAATCTGAGCACGTTTTGCAGCACTTTGTCAAGAGCACGTAAGCAGCCATCTGCCGGGAAGCTCCTGCCTGTCCAGCACCGTCAGCTGCAGGATTCCAGGAGCCCGGTGCTGCGGGCGTCCAGGCCACGATGAACATTAACCAGCGCTCTGTGTTCGTCTGAGGACTGTAAAATTAGCTGGACCAAGTTCCTGTTGGTGCGTCGCTCCAGCTACACGCTGCGGCCTGTGCGCATCCGGCCTGTTACCTCAGAGCCGACATGGCGGGGCCCTCTTTGGAGCGACTGCTTCCCGCCCCCATGTGGCACCAAGATGGCAGCGTAGCCCAGATGGCGCCCAGAAGGCATCAGCCAACGAGCTCGAACGTCGCTGACAGTCCCACTGACGCCTGTGTGTGCACAGCATCTGATTTCCTTATGGAAACACCCCTTGCCGTTTCAGCTGCACTTTTTAGGCCTTTTGAACTTTGTAATAATATCCTTATTCGGGATTTTTTTTTTTTTTGGCCACTGAAGGCTCTCAGCAAAGCGTTTATTGATTTTTGAAGAGGCTCTGTGAGAGAGGTGCTCCAAGTGTTGCGTCATGGGCTCATGTGAAGCAGTTGCAAGCTGGTTGTGATTCATAAACCTGAACAAGATAATAAATAACCGGGCAATGATTGTGCCTGGTGAAGGAAACAGTTGTTGTAGAGATGCTCGCTTGTTGTCCTGGTTGTGATTAGCTGGTTTAGGAAGCTATGAGTTCGTTTTTGACTCATCAAAGAAGGCTACATAAGGACCTCACACAGTTTCCATTCCTTGGTTTTGATGCATGCTTGCCTGTGGCATCTAGGTAGCTGCAAGAGCTGCTAGAGTGTAAACATTAAGGACAGAAATCACCAACAAGCCTTCAAAAAGATGCAAAAATGAGGATTTTAACAATTTATTCTTAAAAAGCACAAAATAAGAGTTGGCCACATTCATCTTCTCCTGTGACATTACTTGACACGGAACCTGTGGGATGCACCATGCTTAACTTTAAATAAAAAATGGAGGGTGAGATTTTCTGAGGAAAAAAAATGTTTATATGTTTAGTCCAAGTCTGATTTCACTGAAGTGAATTGCTAGTTTAATGACAGCTCTATGCAAGTTGTGTGGCTAAGTACGTTTCAAAATTCTGCAGCATTCCTGGTGACGTCTTACACACAAAATGAATTTTACCAAAAGTCAGTAATTGCTGTAAAAAAAAAAAAAGAAAAAGAGGGCACTCTGCAGATTGAATGTTTATGCTTACTTGAGAAATTGCAGTTCGTTTTTACCAGCTCACTACAAAATTTCCTGCAATTTGTTTATAAAAAATGATGAACTTTGTAGAAATAACAGTAAGTCCTATGGTAAGTGGTTGAGAGTTGGTCGTTTGGGGAGAAAGTGTAGCCTGATGAAATGAGGCTGGTAAAATCATTCTGCAATCCTGCAAATAATCCCAGAGCCCTCTGTCCATGCGCTGATCCCCAGAGCACCCCTGCAAGGTAGGATCTGTGCGACTGCCTTAATCCTGTTGATTTTCTTAGTCATGCGGATGCCAAGGGCTGATGAAGCTGAAGACCCTTTCGCTGGATTCAGCAGATTCGGCGCACAGTAATTGCCCGAAGAAGCCCCCGGGCAGTGGGTGTCTCTGGGAAGCGTGTGGAGGGGCTCGCGGGGATTACCGGCAGCGAGCAGAAAGTCGCCACCTGCTCTTTAATGTTTTTTGTTTATTTTCACCTCCTATCCGTTCTTTCTCTTGTCTCCGCTAGGAGAAAAACCCTACAAATGTACCTGGGAAGGCTGCACCTGGAAGTTTGCCCGCTCCGACGAACTGACGAGGCACTACCGCAAACACACAGGAGTGAAGCCATTCAAGTGCGCAGACTGTGACCGCAGCTTTTCCCGCTCAGACCACTTGGCGCTGCACCGCCGCAGGCACATGCTGGTGTGAGAAACGCTCCCCGTCTCCGGCCGCCCTTGAGAGCTGGCTCTCTTAACTCCCCTGAGTGAATGAATTCAGCAGGGCTGAATCCCCTCCTACAGTGTTAACGTGCAGGGCATTCCGTGGTGTCCCTCTCAAAAAAAATAATAATAATAAAAAAAGGAAAAAATAATAATAAAAAGCAGGAAAAGAAGTGCCACTCTTCTCCTTGCCCTCCGAAGTTCACCCCATCCACCCCCTCAGCATGGCTACCCCTCGAAAGCGTCATCACAGTCACCTGGGAAATAGCAGCCAAAACGCTTCAGGAATGGGCATTATTTTACATGCTGTGTCCTTTGGGAAAAAAAAAAATGTTTATAGCTTGTATGTTTTCTCAGCTGTCGGACGTTTTGTTCCTGCAACTTACTGCTGATCGGAGGATTAGATACCGCAACCCGATGATGATGCCGATGGTGATGACGAGAGCAAGACCGCTAGACCTTTATTGCCCCGTCCTTCCCCCTTTTTGTGAGTCCCACGTGGCAGGCGCCAGCGTCGGCCCCGAGCTGTGCTGCGAGCAGGCTGCGCGCGAGCGAGCGGAGGAGACGGCGCTGCCGCTGGAGAGGTCCCACGGGCTGAGGTGAAGGGTCGCTTGAGCAGACTTTGGCAATAATGTTGGTGGCATTTTACTATTTTACCACAGTTTTGTCAATGAAGGACACCAAGCATTTAGCCGCCTTCTTTTATCTTTTTATTTTCTTCTTCTTCTTTCTTTTCTTTCGTTTTGTTGTTGAAGCCTGTAAAATAAACAAGGGGCAGCAACATTTCTGCTGAAAGTACAATATTAAGTATCTGTATTTTACCATGGACGTATTTGGAACCATTACCTGATTTATGTAGAGAGAGCCCATCTAAAAACTTCTGCCCATTCTCAAAGTGTGTTTTCCTTTCATAAAGACATCCTCCTCCCTAAGACCAGTATTTGGACACAAGGAAATAGTCAAAGAGATCTTATACTCACTGGTACCAAGGTTAATGGTGTAGCCATCCACAGAATGGAATTGAATGTACCAACAAAACAGAGAAGTCATGGCTGCATATCTTGCAGAGAAAAAGCAATAATGAGTAAAATGGCTTTCAAGACAATAGTTTATTCCACACCAACAAAAAGGGAGGTAGACAGAAATGACATGTAGGAACACCTAAGTTAATTCTTCTGATGGTTTTCACTGCTAGGTACCACATTTTAGTTCTTTCTGTCGGTGTAATGCTCACTTGTATCTGGAAGGCCAATGGGAAAGAGGAGTGAGCTGATTGCTGAGGAGTGGGTGAACAGCAAGTAGGAAGGAGAACTGGTATGGAAATGGTGCTCTGCAAGACATTAGGTTTGTCCCTGGGAGTTAGGGAATAGCGAGATTTTGCCAGCTGTCTACTATGATATAAATGGCCTTTTATATGGGTCTCACTGGCTGCCTCTGCTGGGATTTTCAATCCAAGCCTTTTCATATTAAATAAAAGGAAATTCTTGATCATTCCCATACAGCCATGTAATTACACGTCAATTTCTATTAATTGAATTATGTAGGAAAGGGAGAAACTCCTAGTCATCAGTTGTTCTTGAAAACAGAAAGCAGTGTTTTCCTGTTTTCCTTCCTCGCAAGGCTCTGCCTTGTACAGCTAAATGTGACAAAGAGGAGGTTTGGCAAGAATTTTTATGTGTTGAGATTTTTATAGCTTAGAGATAAAAAATATATACATAAAGGTCTTTTGCAATGCATTTAATTATGAATAGCTGGTTCCAGGAATTGCACAGTTTAAACTTGTGGTGCCACTCATTCATTTTTAAATGTTTGACTAGTCCAAATTAAGTTCTGATTCCTGAAATACTGAGAGTAATGTTGGAAGGATTCTGAAATACAGATAATCTTAAAAAAAAAAAAAAGCACACAATACCCTTACACTAAAAATGATTATAGTTAATTGGGGAGTCATATGACTGGAATAATACCTTATAATTGCATTTGCAGACCATTGTTAGATTGTCCTGCGATTCATTCTCCATGTCCCCTGGTAGTGGATAATTTCTGAGCTTTCTAGAAGAACTTAAAGCAACGTTAAAACACAGGGTCCCCTCTGTTGAGTGGTCAAACATAGAAATACAAAAAAAAATCGCTTGCAGCTGTTGTGGAAGAATGTCTCTGTCCTTCCCCAGTGACCAGCTTGGTAATCTACATCCACAAAACTCAGCAACATTTCGGGTTCCTGGTTAGAGTTGTCTGAGAGTGATCGTTGAAGTTTTAACAGGCTCAAACAAATCAGGGCTTCTGTACAGGCCAGAAGGAGCAACAGATCTGAGTTTTTACCAGCGGCGTTACTCCCATCATTTAAAAAAACTCATTGCCAGTATTGTGGATTTCATTTGAGATCTATCTTTCATGTACTTCAATATTGTCCCTTTAATGGATTAAATGGATTCGTCGTTCTGAACATCTAAGGAAAGAAGACAGGAACAAGTTAATTTATACTTTTTTTTTCCTGCCCAGTAGTATTTTACCCGCTATTTACCTGAAGAGCAGTAATTGAATGGAAGAACCTGGGGCATACAGAATTCCTTTCAGAAACTATGACTTTTTTTCCCATGACAAATGAAGTCTATTTGACTAGAAAAGGCTGTTGCTTTTGAAAGGACCGGTGAGAAAAGTGATCTCTGCCGTTATTCCCAGTGGCTGAATATTACCGTGAGAGCCTAATATTTTCTTCAGGCTTCACCTGTAGTCAACGGAGAGAGGAAAACTCCTCTGAGAGCAATTGAGAGTCCTTAAATTTCATGAAGTGCCCCTAGGCAATCTGGCTATGCTGACTCTACAGAGAGTCCGAGGAGGTTCTTCTCCCCATGTAGAAGTCAATCCCGTGTTTCTCGGGTGGCTGTCTGTTGCTTTATAAATTTGAAACACTGCAACAGAAAGAGGGTCTCATTTTAGTCAAGAAACCCCGGCGGGATAAAGCCACGCTCACGTCAGGACACGTAGGCCTGCTCCAAGCGTGTGAGTAGGAACAGAATGAAGCCAAGAGATAAAGCAGTATATCCTAGAGATAAAGCAGTATATACTACATTTTCTTATTGAACAGGCAGGAAACGTATGCTAAGCATTTCAAGCACAAACGAGCTCTTCATGCAAGAGCTTCTCATGTTGCCTTTACCTCTGGACAGCTTTCATGACCAGCAGTTGTCTGCCATCAGGTTCAGGCCCTCAGTGAGATTTGGCGAAAGTTCCTCAGTCATAGCAGAGCCCACAGGCTTTGGCTGCAGTTGTTCTGTGGGGTTATTTGTCATCTTTTCCCTCCAGAAAATATTTTAAGAGGAGCTATTTTGGAAGCGTCCAAGGGAAAGGAAGCATCCCCATGTGGAGCTCAAGTCCCCCAAATTCTCAGGGTTACACCACATTCTTCCGTCGATGCCGGCAGACATAGAACGCAGAAATACCCAGTCTCATCTTGGCACAGCAGCCTTGCTCCCGTATGAGCACTGGAGAAATACAAATGTGCACAAATGTCCCCTTCTTTCAGAAAGAGAGGTTTGTGCTTTGAAGTCTGAATAAATGATGGGTGAAATCCACTGTGCCCATTAAAGCCTGCATGAGAAAACCTGCCACACAGTGTCAAATTTCAAATGTCTCTAGAAGGATGATCCCAGATTTGTGAGGAAATCTCAGTACCATCAACGTATAGTAATGAGGAGGCAGCTTTGGTAAAGAATTTTTTTAAATTCAAATTCTCTTTATTTTTTGAGCACCCGTTTTATTCATCACTGTAAAACTGACTGGGAATGAAGATGCAGTATTCCTTATTCTCTATCACGCTTACACAATTAATATGAAGTAGAGTTAGAACTGACCTGTATATATGAGTATTTGCTGGAATAATGTATAACAAAATTAAAAGTGTTAAATGTCATCAGGGATGTTGACATTCGGGGTAAACTCACAGTGCAGAGCATGGACAGATAACTGGGCAGCCTATCCCCCTTTTAATACTGGGAATAAAAATGATCATAACTCACATTTTCCATTAGCCATATTGAAAATGTACTCTAGCTGCCATTTACAAATTTATCTTCTGATAATAAATGCTGTTTAATGGAAAATACCTCTTTCTCCTTTATTGAAGCTGTGTGCCTCAAAATCGGAGTAAGTTTTATCATTAATATCCTGCTTATTTTTAACTGGACCTTCAGTTTGAACAGGGCAGTTTAAGAATCTGCATCTTCCAGAGCAGACGGGATCATGTAGCAAATCTCCCTTATCCTTACATCCTCAGCCATCCATCTTTACGTATAAAAACTCAGCATTTCCCCATGCCTCACCCTGTGTGAAGTCATAGACAAACGATTTACCTTGATTTGAGGAAAAAAAAAGAATAAATGAAGAACCAGAACTACGTATTGTAGAAGAAATAACACCTTATAAGAAACTAGCCTATATTACTGTTTTATACTTTTGCCTGTGATTTTTAACTGAAGGTCTACAAAAAGAATTTTAACAATTGTTATATTTTCAGTTTCATAACAGAATAGCAGTGATTGGGTTACACACACTTATTAACTTCTGCACGTTGCTACCTGAAATGTTTAAATTCTGATCAAGTTCAGTATCAAATAAGTTTTAGACTAAAAAAAAATGTAAGTATAAGGATACTGCATCTTTAAAGATCAAAACGCAATAGAAGTATTTTACTATACTTGTATCAGTTTAAGTATTCTGTAGCATATGTGGCAGTGGGAAATAATTTTCGAAGTCCCAGTTTTACATCTAGTGTAAATAGATTAAATGAAATACATTTAAGAAAAGTCTTTTAGATTTCATCACGAAATAATGGTTAGATTATGCCTTGCAAAACAAAACGCAAGAACTAAATTATTCTGTTTTGTCAGAGCATATTTTCTCTGCAAAATGGAGTGGCCGCTTCTTTGCTTTTTTGCAGATGCTGTGAAGTGAAGACCTACAGAGTCCTTCGATGTTGAAAAAGCAAAACTCTCAATGTCTTTGACTGAATGAAAGGAAAAAAAATCAAAATAATGAAAAACATATGAAAAGTGTTTTTTTCCCTGTTCCCCCTTCTGGCAATTTACAGTGAACTGCAGATATAGTAACAGCAAATTTTCATTTGATTTTATT